AATGTCCCAAATATGGACTTTATTAGACTTGGTTGAAGAGTTTGTTCAGTCCGGAGGCAGCCAGCAAGAAAACACGATTTGTAACCGTTTAAAACTTTGTTTGCTCCCCTCTGAGATGATCTGCTTTTCAAGGGACGCCGCATGCGCCGTCGGCTGCGCTTCTACTGTAGTTGCTATGCAGATTTTTGGCAGATCTGGAGTTGGCGCCTGTGCGGAATTTGGAATCATACGGAATAAAGAAGAAACGCTCTCCTCAAAGGTGTCGAAAAAGGCGCATTTCTAACGACGAGGATCGCTACCATGTCATTATGCTAGCTTGTCCTAGCATATATATTTTCATCCATATCCCGTTAGTCCTTATAAATGTTAGATCCGAAGAATGTTTTCATGAGTATTGATATTTATGGCATTCATTTGGTCATGTTTTGTTCTTAAGATTGCCAGGTTATGTCAACGTGTAGCGCAGAGGATTGGAGGTATATTCCAGCATTGTTTTTTCGCCACCTTTTGTCCATATTTTAAAGAGCAACCGTCAATTCTGAGCACTTCATCTCATCTCCATTAAAGTTCATGCAAAATCCCTCCATAAGTGACAGGCAAAAATAACTCATTGGTTGCTCCGATCGCAAACATTTTGCTAAGCACACGTCCATACAGATCAGAACGGGGCAAAGAATCAAAACCCGTCTCGGATCTCTGGCCTACCGAGCAGCTTTTAGCTCGCGTTCATCCCCCCATTTATTCGGTCTGAGTTCCAAACGTTCCGTTCATGGCCCGCCGCTAGAAAATTGCTTCAAAGACGTAAACATCTCAATCAAAGCAATGGAAATAAAAATGGTTGCATTTTGTGGTGGGAACGCTCATGTGAGAAAAATGAGCCGCAGATGTTCCTTGTCAGCTCTGCCGTCTGTTTCGGGCACCCAAACGATTGAAGAAATTGTGCGAGTGGGGTATTTACCGCTGCTCTGACAAGGAGCTATTAGCAAAGTCCCCGCTCACCCGCTATTTAGCTGCTTCATTAAAAGCCACCCGGGTCCATATGGTGGCGTTGATTTGGCCCAAGGTGTTTATTTGTCTCTGATGGGGGGGGGGGGGGGAATCACCGAGAGAATTCGGGCCCCGAGGTTTGCCTTCCTAATCTCTCAAGCTGTTTGTGTCTCGGACGCCATGGAAACCGATACCCGTCCTCATCAAAGAAGCTCATTGGGCGGGACTAACAAACTGACAGCTGGGGAGAGAAGGTATCTCGGCATTCTGCGGGAGCACCGTCACCTCCCGAGGGGCGGGGGGTGGGGGTGGGGGGTTGCCTTAATCCGTGACAATAGTCATGCAAAGCTTTCCGCAGCACATGCAAGCCATCCGTTCCCCCCTAATCAAAGAATCTTTTCAGTGGCCCGTTCTCACGTATGATCAGTGCGCATATTGGCCGAAGAGACCTCGGATCCGTTGATTCCCGCCGTCACTCACGGTGCCTACTCGAGGTTGGTGTTTGTTGGTGTTGGAACTAATCCCCCCACCGTGCGAATACCTCAATATGACACTCGTCCACTTTTCCTCTCCATCGCGCAATGACCTCCGCTATTTGTTTTCTCGCTTTAATCTTCACTTAAAGGAACAATACTCCACTTTTCACCGGGTGACAGAGTGATATTGTGAGAGTTTCCCAGTGGTGTTGTGAGTTGGCCCGTTTGCATTGTGTCAAGTGTTTACCCTCGCGTTCCCCCTCTCAGCCTCTCCCCGGCTCCCTGCCGGCTCGGTTCCGCTTGGATTAAAAAGGGACACAAAAAGGCAACCGCGTCCAAATATTGACTGGGTCTCAGGACCGATTCTCTCTCTCCCAGCGCCGGCGCAGTCTTCTGCTTGAAAGAGCGCTATTGTTGTCTCGGCATTTCACTGTGCGGGGAGACGGGACGGGGAGAAGGAGGAGATGGAGCATGGGGTGGGGGTGGGGGGGTGGGGGGAATACGTTATCCGAGTTAGCGGAGGGAATTTACAACGGCGGGGACATAC